TTTTTTTTTTTTTTTTTTTTTTTTTTTTATTATTTTTTTTTTTTTAAAAAAAAAAAAAAAAAAAAGCACATAAACATCATGAAGTGTGACCAGGTATTTGTGATTCTGGTCAGAACAGAATAAAATCAATGGTATTTTTCATCATCTGGTAGATTTTTTCCTAGTACTTAAGTACACATTTAACGATAAATATACTTTTTTAGGATTAAAAAAAGTGGCAATATATGAAAATAGTTTCTGTGATGATTGCATGGTCACTGTATGATAAAAAGAGCAAATATACTGAAAATGCTACAGAAAAAAATCAGGTATATTTTACCGTGTCTGGGAACATTATTGAGATTGCAATTTTTTAACCTTTTGGGAAGAAATAAGCATTTTTGATCATCTTTTTAAAATAACTTTCTGATATAATATAATAGAATTAAGACTTGGTTTGGGAAACTGGTGACTGTTATCCAGGCTTTTTTCAGACTTTGTATCAGTCTAACAATAACTATCTAACCATTTTCCTATCCTATAAAATATTCCTACCAAGAATGGTTCTTTAAATTAGCCCACCAGAGTTTTTTTTCTCTTGGATACAAAGTTGTAATAAAACTTAAACACATTCTTATAACCAAATTGTCTGATGTTTTCTCACTAGACCAACTGAATCCTAAGGAACTATGTCTTAGTTTAAGTTACTTAGTAAGCACACTTTTTCTCAGGACTGTAAAAGAGTATAAAAACAGAACATAAAACAAGCTATGTGTGAGGGAGACAATTCAAAAAAGATTTAACTGTTTAAAACTGATGTTAATGATACAAATTGCAAAAATTTCTGTGAAAAAACAGTGCAAATAAATATCAATCTAATAATACTATTACCAATAAAGCATTATTTTTATCATTACATTAGATGCAATATCAAATTTAATCAGAACTTACTTTTGTATAGCTTTTAACTTTTCAAAATGTTTCAAAGCCATTATCCTATTTCATCTCATTTAACTGGCTTTAAAACATAAGTCAGCTTTTCTTGTTCTCACACATTAAGCACAGAAAGAGGAAATAAAAGATAATATAGCCCAAAGTAATTTAAAAAGCATTTTCTGTTGCCAGAACTGGTAAGTCATAAACAGTAACACCTGAAAAAGCATGTAACCAAGATATTTTACTGAACCAGTAAACATAGACAACTCACATTTCATGCTAAAAACAAATGGATATTAATCTTCCAAGTCTCTTTTCTCATTACCATTAAAGTCTTTTTACTTCACCTTGTATCCCCAACTACTCCTATAATGATACCCTTTATTACCAATTTCTTCAGAGACCATTCTAGAGTGGGAAAAGGCCCATCATCCAGCTCTGCAACTGGAACGGTGTGGACTGAAAGCAGTTCAGTCACACTATAACACTTGGGGTTACTTAGTCCAAGAATATGAGCTGTCAGGACTCCAAGAAGGATCACAAAATAAGCAATGGTGATATCTGGCATGATGCACTAAAATCACTCAATTATCTGACAACATTACCCATTTGGCAACATCGTAATTTTCTTGAAGTAACTAATTCCTAATAGCTCTACTCCATGAATAGAGGAAGAAACACTCTGTGTGAGAATATGGCAGCGTTAACAATAACTTATGTTGAAGATACTATTCCTTTGGACCTCGAAGAAAGGTCCCTGAGAAAATCTGTGAGATATTTCCCAGGTATATTTTATAATTCTTGCTACTTAATATGATTATTTAGAACAGAACTCATTCTACTATTTATCAGCATTTACTATGAAACATATTCAATCTAATTTGTCATTAATGTTAAGAGTAATAACAGCTAATACTTATCGAGTACCTTTATGTGACTGGCACAAGGCCAGCCCTTCATATAGATTATCTCATTGTAATCTATTAATAGATATAACAACTCTGAGAGAGATACATTTAAATCTCTAGCCTTCAATGATTTTAGAATTAATATTCTTTTTCTTTCTTTTCCCCTGAGAGCATATCTTCAGTGCCTTAGGCCTTGCTACTGCATTTCATTTCCTTCTCTCTTCCCTTCAATGATTATTTCCCTGTCTTGGCCTGGAGAAGTCCTCTACTGTGGAAGGCACTGGACATACACTAGCACCAGAGGAGTCTGCACTGCAGTTCTCCTCTTGGGGGTTGTCAACAACCACCCAGCATCCTTAACCATCACATACTTCATGGCACTGTCTGATATGTGGGTTATGTGGCCTGAGAGGCAAGTGTGCCATGATCCCTTTGGTTGTTTCAAGGGTGATACAAGTGAAATAAATAGTGTATGAATAGGGATCACAACCCCTATGGGTTATGTGGCCTGAGAGGCAAGTGTGCCATGATCCCTCTGGTTGTTTCAAGGGTGATACAAGTGAAATAAATAGTGTATGAATAGGGATCACAACCCCTACGTGCCTTAGGTCTTTGCTGGTAGCACTAATCAATGCAGTTCCTCCCGGGATGCAGTTCTGATTCATCTTGTCTGGGAAGAGGGGTCAGAGGTTTCTACTTGTTTTTTTTTTTTTTTTCTCTTTTTCTTTTTTTTCCCCCTAACGTGTGGCTTTTACTCCATAAATCTGAGAACTAATTTGAGGGTTCCACCCACTGCTAAGAGTAGCCATCCCAGTTTTGTACTTAAGAACCAAAGATATTAGCATAGAGTGGGTCTGGGAGCCCTTGATGCACCATAAAGCAATAAAAGTAACTATAATGCTGCTGAATGCCCAGGGTATGACCCCTCTACCTAACACACAAGCAAAGTCCTTATCTCATTCATACCAGTTCAGAATTTCACCCTGAGGGTTTGCTTTCACAGCTGCTTTTGGTATCATTATCTTAGCCTGAATTCCTGCAAACAGGAAAAGGGCTGTATGTGGGTAATTTATTTTGGGAAGCAATCCCCAGGAGAACTAGGAAAAGTGAAGAACTTGGAAAAGAGAAACAGGGTAGAAAGGGAAACCAACCCACTGGTATGTTTTTGAGCTGACTCCTACAGTGGAGATTTGGAACTTGATGCTGCTGGGAACTCTTGCAGAGACATGTAGAATGTACTTCACCATCTTCTACCCAATGCAGAGAAGCACACTTACCTTTCTCTGTCAAGGGTATTAACAGCTTGGTATGCATGATTTAGAAAGTCTAGATGGTTTCCCCCAAGAGTTCCAATAGTCCATGTCACAAACATCCCCTGGGACAGGAAGCAAGAGAAACTAGACACAGCTGAGCCATCTGCTGTTAGGTTATATCGGTGGAAAGTTGGTCACCACCACAACAGCTGAAGAGTATGAGACACGGCAGAAGATATATGCAGTACATTCTCTCATCCTTTTTGAAAACAGTTTGCCCTCTCTAATAAATCAAAATTTGGAGAAATCATTCTCAACCCCTTTCCAGCTTCCCTTAAGGCTTTCAATTAGCACATAAACTGCTCACTATTACCTTTGCTTGGCTGACAGAAAGCACAAATCTTCATTCAGATATTTCTGGGCTAAAAATGTCTTCATAGCTCTCCTGATATATTAATCTAGAAGTAACAACTGAGTACTTTTTAAAGTTCCAAAGACTAGTTCCTTTAAGTACACCTCTATAATCCCTTTCTACAATTCCTAAATGATCTGAGCCTTTCTGACCAGATACAATCAATCAATGGTCACAATAATATTTTAACCAAATAATAATTGGCATCCATCTGCTAAGTCCCCCAAATAAGCATGCATCAGACTGAAATTTTCTTTCAGCAGGCAAGTAATCAGAAAATGTACAGATTACTCAACATTCCCTCTTCTGCTCCTGCCTGAAGTTCAGTTGGCTCTCGGTGGACTCCCAGCAACACGCCCTCCTAAAATTGGGGCCCCTCCCTCTTGGCCATCGTCCCTGGCTATTGCCTCTTCTTCAGGTAGAAGTGATCAATTGCTGGCTGGCTTCCCTCAACTCCTAAAGACACAGTTAGTTTTCCATAAGACGGTGGGCACTGTCAAGACTATCTAGCTGATTCTTTAGCATTTCAGGCATTTTTCAATTTTGGAGACATATTGCTGAGATGCTGACACACAGAGGTAAAACCAATAGCAAATGAGAATCAGAAGAAGGAGTCAATTTTCATTCAGAGAAAGAATCAGAATCAAACTTGGGGTGGGAGTGCACATATCTAAATGCAGTGGAAGACACTTGCTTGGAATTTAGAAAAGAGGTGGAAGCTGGAGTTTTATGATTCAGGGTAGTAAATGGAGCAAATCTTTGGCTGATTCAATTCAAGCTCCAAAAGATAAAGGGACTTTTTATCCTTAGTGTTTAGCACAAGTCTGGCACATGGTACGCACCCACAGAAGCACAGCCTTCATTTCTTTCACAATATAATAAATGAATCTCCCAGAGAGTCAGTTTTCTAACTTTCCAAACTACTTTCAAATCTCTTGTTATAAATGTTTTTCCCAAATTTTCATTACAATCACCACATCCCACACCTTAAAGAGTTCTCTCTTGAACTCTTTATTGGACAAAGTTATGGTATTTAGCAAAACCTGAAATATTGACATAAATCAGAGGGGTTTTTAATTATTTCTTTATTTTCTAGTAGTATGTTTTCTTTGTTTTTTTATTTTTTTTAAAATTTTACTTCTCAATATACATTGTAGTTGATTTTGCCCCTTTACCCATTCCTCTCCCCCCTCCCCCCATCATATCTGTTCACTTATAAATCAGAATTTAAACCACATACGGATGTGAAGTTCCATGGGAATCAATCCTGTGTAATGTGTGAAAAACTGTATCAGTCATTTGGTCTTTTAGATCATCTGATTATTCCTCTTTTACTACTAACTGCACACCCCTGAACTTTTCCCTTCTAAGAAAAACGGGCATTATGTTGCCATTACACAGAGTAAGTTATTACCATGACTACTGACCTACATCTGTATCTAAGATGTTGCTTTCTTTATGACAAAGAAAATAAAATACATTTTCTAATGATCACTACCATAACCCTGTGGAAAAATAAATTGAATATAGCTTATAGAATGTAAAGAATATGCTAATGTGGCATTAAGACTGCGAATTGGAGGCTCTTTTCAGTTCAATGATGCTAAACAATTTTAAGAAAAATTTTATCAGCTACAGTAATAGCTCTTTTGCTCTCTCTCTTTTTAAGTGTCATTATTTGTTCCCAAGATATATCAGCCTAACTAATCCCTCCAAATCTTTATGTACATTAAAACGGTGGGGAATTTAATCTTCTGCAGCATTCTTGATAGGTTGTACAAGATAAGATTATTCCACAATATCTATTATAGGTCTTATTTCTACATGCCCTTTTGGACAAGAAGGCAAGGGGAACATTTGGGGGAAAAAACATTCAAACTGTACCAAGAAGACCCCTTTTCACTCTACATCTGTGGAGGCAAATCTTATAGAGGGTCAATATTGAAGGAATGGGCTTGGTGTTTGTGGTTAAAGGAGTGCCTGATAGAAGAAGAGATCAAGGCATCTGGACACTTATTTAGAGATATGCATACATATAGTGTTTGTGTGTGTCTCTATATATATAGAGAGAGAGACACACACAATATATATATATAAATCTGTAAATATATACACACACACAATATTTAGATATACATTAACATACATCAGAAAAGGGGAAATGAGACTGGCAGGGTTAAAAATAAAGTATGAGATTACATCGGCATTATAACTGAGAGCTGAGACATAAACCATTGGCTTTACTAGGAGTCTTCAAACAGTTCATGGAAAGTTTTGTATTATCTTTTAATTCCATTTTTCCGTGACTATATAAAGTACCCTGTCCTTTGCCAGAACTACAGGCAGGAGCTGCATAGGAAAGTGTCCCTTGCTTCCTCTCATCTCAAATGGCTAGATTTCAAATATGAGCTGTGGGTCATCAGAGTGAACAAGAAAAGAGAATGAAACTGTACCATGTGACTGAAATGCATCCTCTTTTCTCCAAGAATAAATCAGATCACCTGTTTTTAGTGCTGGCATGCCAACTCTCCACGCATCATCTCAGAAGATTCAGAGATTAATTGAGGACTCCAGATTCTACCCTTTTCTTATTTTCTGGGACTGAAAACAAACGAAATCACTGTCCTGGGAAGAATCTACTGTATAAAACTCTTTGTTATCCTAGGCTGACATCCTCAAAGTCTTATTCAAAATCCTCATCTTGCAGAAATTTGTATCAATGCTTTCACACTTGCTTTCATTTTTAGATATTCAAATGTCCATCTACTCTCCTCCATTAGTGATACAGCATTCTTTGGAGTCATCTTTTAAGTCTCTGTTTGGTTAAATCGTAATTTCTAGATGACTCACATTAACTTACTATTCCTTCAAGCATGACTATTTTTGTAACAAAGTTTGCCTTATTATATAAATTAGTTGTTTTTACTAGAACCTGTTCACCCCAGTGCTTCATCTCCTATCCTGTATTTTGTGTTAAAAATTTCAAATAAAAATA